AATCATTAATTAAAGAAATCTGTCTAGTTTCACTTCCCAATATAGACACAGTATACACTATACACCTAAAATATCATAGCCTTGAATTCCAAATACAAATTCAAATCTCTCTTTGTTGAGGAAAATATATATTCTGCACAGGTACACTTATTTATTCCTAATGATTTCTTAGTTGTTATTAAATAGTTTAGTAATCTATTCACCTGAAGCCATCAACAGTAATACCAAGAGAGTAAGTGTGAGAGATTCTTGATTCTGGACCTCCAATAATTCACACATATTTTGTCTATTCACAATTATTTGTTGAGTGTCTACTACGTGCAAGGTTCTGTGTTAGGCATTGGGGTAGCAACAAAGATGAGTAGAAAAGAAGAGATACTCATTGTCTAATGAGGGACACAGACCTAGAAACAAATACTATTTTTTATCCACAGTTGGGAATCTGTGTATGCAGAGGACTGACAAGTAATATTCAAATTTTCAACTGTTGGGCGGTAGGTGCCCCTAACCCCAGCACTGTTCAGGGTTAACTGTAATTACAATTGGAATTAAGGTGAAGAAATCTGGGAGAGAATGGAGGAAGAACAGAATAGCTATCCTATAAATCTCTGCTTTTTCGTATAGCTATGATTAAAGTACAAATACATTTAAACATTCCTAAAAACCAAGTCATTGCCTTAACTTATAGGTTTAGTGTGCATATGAGTTCCCTCTTTTATTTCTTATGTCCTTATCTTTAAACTTCTCGACTCTGCTCTCTACCACCTGCACAAAGATGGCTCAGACTAAGTAAGGAATATATATGAATGCACTGCTATACTAGTTATGCATTTTAAGTTTTTAAAAATATAAACTTGGGAGAAAGAGGAGGACACATGAAGGTTTGGGGCTTCCCTGCTGTGGGCTCACTGCTGTAGTTATTCCTTGGCTCTTTTCTGTCTCATCCAGCAGCCGCAGTCGGCAGGATAAGCAACTCTTACCCACTGCTTCTCCTGGGTCTCCCTGAGGCTAATCCCTACCTAGAACTATCAGCTGTGCCAGCTGGTAGCCAGAGGTGGGTGCTGGGCTGGCCCTCTGCTGAATGATGGGCCCTCACCTATCATTCTGAGTGATGGAAAGAGGAAAAAGAGTTACTTAGGGGAAGAGTCAAGTAATTTACAATACTTTGCAGTATTTATACAACTTGGTTTAGCTTTTGAGCTAAGACAAATATTTCAGTAAACAAATCTCTAATGTTTTAGCAGTCATCAAAATTTAGTTAAGCTTGGCAAACAACCCAACTCACAGTCTTGTCCCAACTTACCTTTCCAGCCTTCTCCCTTGCCATTTTTGCCTATGTGCTTTTCAAGTCCTGCCTCACCGAACCCTTTCCATACTACCTGAAAGCATCGGTTCTCTTATGAAGTGTGTCTTTCCAAAATGCTGTTCCCTCAACTTGGAATACTCTCGTCCATTGTCAATGATTTTCATTCAGTCTTTGAAACTCAGCTCAAATCCTGGCTTCTCGGCAAAGCCTTAGCTTACACAGTGCATTGTTAAAAACCCATGTCACTACGCTCATCTACTTCCTTATGAATCTGGCTCTTTTTCTGTTTCTTGCTACTAGACTATAAATTCTCTGGGAATGGGAAATTCTGTGTTTATTTCTGTTCCCCTAGTACCAAGTATAGTGCCAAAAAAGTATTAATATTTGATAAATCACCAATACTTTGCCCAAAGTAAGTATTCAATAAGTGTGTTAATGTCAATAATTCCAGTCAAAGCTTGCTAAGATCTAGTTCATCTGCTCTGCTTTCAGTAAGCCAGAAAATGTTGCTAAGGAAAAATAATGCCTTTTGGGGAGTCCACTATTACCTCCTTTTTGGGTTCATATGATGAGTAGTGAACCTACTGGTCACCACAGTAAAAATACCTGAACCCTAGAACCATAAGTACTTGTGCTTAAATCTCACTTCTACCCCTTCATAAAATTAACATGGAAATGATCTTTGTGAAACTGTATAAGCAACTTAAAGCTAAGTATCTCAAAGTTTGGTTCCTTTTCGTACTGCTTTTCTTTATTCAGAGAATCCACTGTGATATTCATTACAAAAGTATTTTATGTTAATCTAAAAACTAGACATACTTCTTATGGGCAATACATTTAAGTGATGTAAGTAAGTCACATTAGCTATTGGTGTTATATGTAAATTTAAAAAATACAATGTACTTCCACAGACATTCAAGTACTGCAGTGCCTCATTTAGCCAGCATATCATGGTTTCTCTTAAAAAGAATATAAATTATTTATGCAGCATTATCAAGAAAGAGGTACTTCACAAACCAGATTTTTCTGATAAGTTCTATAAGAATCACATATCTTCAAGATTTTAAATATTCTCACTGGATATATATTACACAATATTATACAGTTCCACTTTTTAAAAAGCCCAGCACAACAAATATAACCCCACTTTTTCTTAATCATCGAGGATCATTATTATCAATGTCAATTACTGCATTATATACCATCCATCCTGTAATATAATGGTACCCTTAAGGGTTACTGATAAATATAAAATTATTTGCCTTTATCCTAAGTGGATTCAGATTGTTGTTATGACTCTACAACCAGTGTGTTCTGATGGTTATTTTTCAAACAACTGTCTGGGTGAAGGCTTGGGAATGGTTCAATTCTCCTAGAGAGCCAAGTGCATGGGTTTGGTGACTGCAATTTGTTAGCAAAAGCTCTCTTTTCCCTCATTATTTCTAAATCCATGAGGTGGCTTAGATTGTCAGGAGACTAACAACTGAGTAAGTTGTCCATAGCAGGGCTAGCGTTCATATGCATGCATTACTGGTTCATTACTTGTACTCAAGAATTAGTCTTATTATTAAGGTAAACCTTAGATTTGCTGTCAACTTATTGCCTATATATAAATAAGACTGTTGTTTCTAATGAATACAAATTTTAAAAGCCCAACCATGAACCTCGGACTCAATTTAGAAGTACTTCAATGTTACTATACTGCAGAGGAATATTCTTCAGTTACTGACCTTAAAATTTTTTTTTTATCCTCACCCGAGGACATTTTCCCATTTTTTGTTCAGATAGAGTGGGAGGGAGAGAGAGGAAGAGAGAGAGAAACATCGACGTGAAAGGAACACATCGAGTGGCTGCCACCCGCACGACCAACCAGGGCCGGGGACAAACTGCAACTGATGTACGTGCCCTTAGCGGGAACCAAACCCGGGTCTCTCTGGACCACAGGCCGACGCTGTAACCGCTGAGCCAAACTGGCCAGGGCATCTGACCTTAAAATTTTTTTAAGAGTTCACCATTCTATTCCAGTATGATGGTATAAAATCTTCAAATTCTAATTCAATCCCCCTTTTTTTTTAACCTCACCCGAGGACACTTGTTTTGTATTTATCTTCAGATAGAGCGGACGGGAGAGAGAGAGGAAAAGAGAGAGAGAGAGAGAAACATTGATGCGAGAGAGACACATCGAGTGGCTGCCACCCACATGACCCCAACCGGGCCCGGGACAAACTGCCACTGAGGCACATGCCCTCAGTGGGAACCAAATCCGGGTCTTTCCGGTCTGTGGGCCGACGCTCTAACTGTTGAGCCAAACCAGCCAGGGCTAATTCAATCCCTTTTTGCCAAACTCTGTATATGGATAGTTAGTGTCAGTATATATAATCTCTGTTTCATCAGGAAAACAAGGAGAGGGAAGAGGAAGAATTGCTTTCTTCATTCATAAAATTTTTAAAAACATAGGTAGCTATGTCCATGGAACAAATAAATTTAGTAAAAGGCCTGAAATCTGGTATTTTGAAATTCCTGTCATAATTGGGTTAGTATATTAATCCAACATTTGCTTGTCATCTTCAAAAATAAAAAAGTTTGTAAAAATTTGAAAGGGTACAGTAACAAATGTCCACAAACTCTACAAGGCATTAAGGGGAAATCTTGTTCCTCAGGTTTGGTCCAAAATAAAACACCATTTAAGCTAACTTACTAGTGAATGCCTACTTATATATCTTAAAATATCAGTTCTACTTAAAAGGTCATCCCAACATAAAAAAAATAAAAAATAAAAAAGCATTGGAATAAGAAAATAAAGAAAGAATATAACATATTAACTTGGCTGAATTTTTTAAAAAATTATTTTTTTCAACAGAATAATCTACTTCAATTTTATATTGATTTCCATTGTATCTACAACAATGACCAACTTCATGCAAATAATTCTTTTCAAGTTTAAATAAAAACAATGATTTTTAATATGATAGGATATAAACATATTTCTTATTCAACAAACAAACAAAAAAGGATGAATTAAAATATGGGCTAGTCAGAGTTACATCAAAATGGTCCGAACTACTAGGCCTGCAACTGGTGGTCAGCTGACTGCATCATTTACAGCCTTTCTATCACAGCATTCCTTTGAATTTAATATTCATGCTCAGTACTACCTAGTCAGTTTAAGGAGCATTTTAACCTGGGATATTTCTTCCAGGGTATTTCCAGAGTACTTAAATGGTCATTTAAAATACAACTTAAGCAAAGCACAGGCCAGATTTCAGGATTATTACAACTTTATGTCTCATCATTCTCTACTTAATGTCCCAGCTCTGAAAAATTAAAAAACAAAAACAAACAAAAAAAACCTCACCAGCATCTTTACAGAATTGTGATAGGTTCTGGCTAGTAACTCGATAAAAGGTCATTCTGCAAAGATTTGGACTCTATAATTCAGAGGAACTTAAATTTAATGTATTTAGTTATATGTTTTGGAAATATCCCACAAGTAAAAATAAAATCCCCTGAAACCTAATAAGCCTTATACCAAAAGCAGTGGACATTAACCACAGTTAACCTACAGAAGTTGACAACTCTGTCCTTTAACCTAAGTACTGTATAGAAATCCTTGAGGAGCAAAATTTTTTATTCCTAGTAACTCTAAGAAAAAAGTGAGAAAAGTAAAATGTCTTTTCAGAGAAGAGATACTTACTGGCACTTTGAAGGGTGAGGTATATGCAGTGTCCATGGAGTTGGGTTTCTCTGATGTACTGGTCCCTGAGATACTCCGTCTGCGGGGGGATCTTTCCGCTGGCACCTCTGGAAAAGAAGAAACATCATTAAGAACCCCAAATTTAAAATATTTCACTAAACTGTAAAATTATTACTCCACCGGGCACCACAAAATAAATTTGCTTTAAAAATGTATTACAGTCTATTATCCACATAATTTCTCTATCTCTGTGGTGTTTGTGAACTATCAAGACACTAGGAGATGATCAAAGTTAAGAATCTGCTTTAGTGTGACAGCTTATGTCTCATCTGTGCACATATAAAAAGTAATTTCCTCTTAGCTATGTTCAATATGTTCACTTAATATTTGCATCTCACAGTGTATGAATCTACTTCTCTGTCAGCAACATAGGAATAAAAAATTTTTATATTCTTGTGAACAAAATATAGTCTAATGTTGCTCATGATTTGATGGTGTTTGCACAAAGGTCAAAGTTCAGTTCAGTGCCGATAAGATGATTCACCAGACTGCAACCAAAGGGCCATGCGAAGACTGAAAGCTGCTGCCAGGAAAAAATAATATATATGCCTATGCAGATGTAAAAATAGATCAGCTTCTTCTTGTTCTGGCAATATGACCTTACTAAGACCTTACTCTGGATTACTAAATCTGTTCAAACTACCCAACAAGCTTCAGATTTTGCATATAATGTGATAATCTCCAATTTAATTACTATACACTACATTAAGGTTACATTTAATTTTTTCAGAGTAATATATGTATATATATGCACATACACACACGCACACACACAGATGATAGATATATACATATTATACCTTTATCACAACTGCTTCCCATCTCCACTTCAACTGACAGACATATAGGAATCCAGCTTCTCAGATAACATTAGATAATCTCAACATGGACAAGGAAAAAAAAAAACAAAACACACACATCCTAAAAAAAGTATTCTGTGTTATCTTCCAGATCTTAAAAAATAAGGAGTAAATCATGACTCCGGAGACTGACATTTTGCTTCCTGCTGTTCTCCCTTTAAAAGATAGATGCAGTTTAAACTTCCATTTCTGGCCTCCTGGCCCCTGGGATCCGTGCTACTTCCACTTAAGAGAAAGCGTTTTTTCTCTCGCTCCCTCCCTGTGTCTTGCTCTTCCCCCTCCCCTCTCTACAGCTTGCAGAGAGAGTAAGCGAGAAAGAAACACAGAGGACTGCAGCTATTCAATCAATCGCTCCCACTGCACATCCTCATTAGTTATTTTCAAGCCATTAGCAGACGCCCAACCACTGCCTCCCCCCGTTACAGAAAATTTCACTGTATTGCACTAATCTGCAGCAAGAAAAAACATTTACTGAAATTTATATTCAGCTAGTGCAAAAAGGACACCATTTTACACAGAATCAGTAATGCACACAAGTCAATCCCTCCTATAAAAATCCAATTGGAAGCGCTTACCCCATTACTATCTTTGCCTGTTGGATACTGATTTGCTTTCCATGACTAAACATCTTCTCTGTGACATCTTGACTAGTGAGACATAAGCCAAACTGCAACATCCCTAATGACTGAAAGGTTGACAGCAGAGTGTTTTTTATGCCTGCAGTATAAGAAAGTTCCACGCTATTCCTGTGTTTTACAATCATGACCAATAACTGAGTGTAAGTCTCTCAACTTCTTGCTAATCATCAGTGGTTAAATGAACCTTAATATACAAAGTCATTTTCAGAATTAGGCACACACAATTTAGTGCACATTTCTAAAAAAATGGAAGTATAATTATCTAAAATTCATGGAAATGGCACAAAGCACTGAATTTAAACAAATCAGTTTGTCAAACACATTTAACAAGACCTTCAGACTTCAGGAACATGACATTAAAATGAGTGATTATCCAAGTTAGACAAGTCTTAATAGGAGAAAGGCAGGTGGGTGGAGGGGCTGGGAAAGGTAGAAACTATAGGAGACTGAATATTACAATAAAACATATTTTAATCTCTGAATAATTGATGGAGAAACCAAATTAGGAGAAAAAGAAGTTCCATTAGCAAGGATAAAATGATTTAGTAAACAGTTTCCTTTAATTTGCAAGGTTCCAAATAAGAAAAAATGAAAACTTATTTCTTCACTTTCTTCCAAACATCTTATTTTAGTTTTCAGGCATATGAACTCATTAAATAAATATATTTCAATACTTTTAACTCTTTGGAAATTATTTGCTAAAATGAGCAACCATATTTCAAAATATATTTGTTATATATTTTTTGCTTTTAGATTCTTGCTGTATCATGAAAACAATGCCCACAACTCTGATGTAGTTTAAAGAATGTTACTGGGCTCAATGGAAGAAATTAATTATTCTAGAAGTTTGAATCACTGCCCCCAAAGAGGGAAAAACAAAGGATACGAGGTAAGCTAAATTAACTAATGTAAGAGGAAGAAGTGTATACTTCTTGACTTTCTCAGGCCCCACAACAATGCAATAATGCAAAAAAAAAAAAAAAGAAAGAAAAAAGGCTATTAATATTCAGGTTCTTTCGTTCTCAGAAGATTCATAATTATTTCAAAGCTGAGAGAAGAATATGTACCCCAACAACCAATGTCCACTTAGAAACAGGGTGGCAGCACCAGCTAGAGCAGAACTGACAACTTGCAGGGTTAGTCACAGGCAGGCCTGCACATTAAACTGGTCCAGCTACCTTTAACTGTAAGTCTTCAAGCAGAAAGGAAAGCTGCGACTATGCTCTTAAAGCTACATCTCTGCTGTGTCGTGGTTCCAGTAGGCCAAAATTAGACAGCTTTCTCCCCTACCCCATCCTGCTACAGGCTATCACATTATTTTCACCTGCTGTAAAAATTAATGTTCCTTCAGTCACAATATTTCATTATAGTCATTTTAAAATATGCTTGCTCTCTGAGGCTGAGACATATAATATTGTTTCAGTAGATAAAGGTCTAAAACATTTTGTTCACTTTCTCGTCATCTAAAAATAGTATTTTTCATCTTAAGATTGAAAGACAAAAAAAGTTATTAAAAAACCTGGTTAAATTTTAAATTTATCTCATCATTTCCTTTGCCATTAGGTATGAACTGAGATGCGGTGACAAGTTATAATAATGAGAGATAACCTCCAAACCATCCCTACACAGAATGATGGATTGAACAAAGAGAACATTTGGGTGCTTTTCTTAGCAGCACTATCAACTATCTGTGTGACCTGTGTAAGCCATTTCACCTTTCCTGTTCTAGTCTTCATTAATAAACTGGGTTATTCAGATCAACCAGAGATGAAGGCAAGATGAATGAGTTCATATGCTTTAATGCAAAATAATTTTGGAAGAAACGGGCTCTCTAAATACAATGTGTAGTATTATAACACCATTTCCTCAATATAAACATTTTCCTATTTGTCAGTATGCTTTCTTTGAAAAGTGTGGCAAAGAAATTGACAACTGGACAATTTAATTATAGGGGCAAAGGTACTTTTGGTGGAGGATGTGCCTGTTTAACAAACAGAACTCAATCTCTGCCATTAGAACCTAATAGTATGTTTGTGGACTTTAGTTCACTTATCAGGAAGCAAATGTCAAAAAGTGTTTCAGGTAGGAAAAAAAATTAAGACAGTGTTAAGGAGATGAAGAGGCATCGTAATTTCACTACAGTGAATATAGTGACTAGGTAGTTGCCTTGAGAAGGTTAGTAAGAGTCAATACTTAAGAAAGTAAGGCAGTCAGCCTTGCAGATTTCTCAGGAAGAACACTGCAGGCAGAGGGAAGCCAATACAAAACTTCTAGGGTAAAGAGCAGCAGGGAGGCCAGTGGGACTAATGCCAGCGAATGGGGACAAATAGCATCGCAGGAAGCTACTATTTGTTTGTAGCTTGCAGGCCTACACATAAGAACTTTAGCTTTGACTCTGAAAGAAAAACCAGCCAATGGAATACATTTCACTCAAAGGTACAAATCATAGAGAAACCCTATGGGCATACACTTACTGGAACCTCCTTATTTTTTTTTCTTCAGAATTTTGATTGAAATAATTTTGGAATATTATGTTTGGAAAGAGTAAAAGGAAATATTTATCATATGTATTTGCTAATACATCAATGTTTAACTGAGGGTTAGTTCCAAAACCCTTCAAAAATATCAAAAGAGAAAGGTAATTGTTATATAACATCATTATGGCCAAACAGCTATAAGCATAAAATCAACTACATTTACCTTCTGTTCAATCACATTTAACCAAAATTCATATACTGTCATCATGTCATATATGCATATATGTAACATAAATAACATAGCTAAAAATGTCATGAATTCTGATAATGTCTACCACTTTTAGATTGAGTTATAAGAGTTTTTTTTTAAAGGTAGATAAAATGATTCATAAATACTTTTTTTAAGAGAAAAAGATATACTATAAAAGTTACTTTAGCACTTGTTTTGTAAATAATCTGTCTAGGGTAGAAATATTTTAATGAGAATTTTAGCTACTATTGAATGTCTATTATGTACTAAGCACTGGGTCTAATATCTGTCTTACTTAATCCTTGGGACAGCCCATGAGGTAGTAACAATTATTATTCTCTCGATAAGAGTAGGGGCAAATTTAAAAGAAGGGAATAATCTTACCAATGTGAAAGTCTTTTCAGAAAATCCAACATGAAAGATGAACAAAATGTAGAAAGATATTTATAAAGTTTAAATTTGGTGGACAATGATGTAAGGAACCAAAATACCCTTCTCACAGCAAAATTCTCTAGTTATGACAGACCAGAAAAACATTACATGTTCACAGATGCAGTCAGTTTGGCATATATAGTATGTCTAAATATTTCACGTGAATAGCAATCCAAGCCAATTCCTAGTTATTTGTGGTCCAGAATTATAAAATATATATGAATGTGAATGGTCTGCCAATTATAATATTTACAGGCCCCTTTAATATTTTTGATCTTATGTTTAGGAAACAGGTGTTCTAATATTCTTAAAGAGAGAATGTTTCAGTTCACTTCAAAAACCTTTTGAAAATCAGTAACATTTTAACATAGCATGACAGAAAATTGTTTG